GGGGGGGGGGGGGGGTCTTAGGATAGTTATAAGGGGAAGGGGAGGTCAGTTCTGGACTATTAGATTAAGCTTAAGGGATGGCTAGGATTAAAAGATGTGAAACAGGGTCGTTTTGGATTTAAAGGGGAACCAGACCGAGTGTAGGAATTGGACTGGGCGAGATGGAGGGAAATTGGGCCATTGAAATTGTTTGTTGGCCCAATTCAAAGTAAAGCCAAACAACTCCTTATTTCCTTTTCTTTGTTTTCTTTAATTTTAAGGGTCTATTGGAAACAATCTCTCTATCTTCACTAGGTAGGGGTAAGGTCTGCGTATGCACTAGCCTTCCTAGACCCTATTTGTAGGAATATACTGGATTTATTGTTATTGTAAATTAAAATCCTAATTCAAATCTGATTTGCAGAATTAGACCTACTTATCTATTTTTTAATATTTAAATAACCAATTAACTTAACACTAATGAAAGAAAATTATTAATTTAAAACTAAAAGCTAAAAATGTAAAAATGACAATTATATTTTTGTGATTTTCATTTGATAATGCATTTAATTAATGTAATTAAATCCTAGATGAATTAAGATCTAAAATGCCATGAGACGAAGAATTAAACATTTTTATGGTATTTTTTTATGATTTTAAGATGTTAAATATGCATAGAAAATGCAACTAAATGCAAACAAACAATTAAAAAAAAATTCCTAAAATTCTATGAAAAATCAAAAACAATAAATTTTTTTGTGTGGATATTGTAGGAACATTTCCCTTAAGGCAAAAATTACGTGCTCACAAGCCAATTCAGCCAACTTTCACGACTAAGTATCCTGAATTTTTGAGCTGCTAATTGTTCAGAACTAAATGTCTTGAATTTTTGAACTACTAATTTAAAATTCAGGACATAAGATTCGAACTTCAGGACATAATTTTCGAACTTTAAAATACGATGTCTTGAAGTTTGAATTTTTAGGTTTGAGCTCTAGGATGAAGTGTCTTAAAGTTTGAGAGAAATTGACTAATCTTTAAATAAATTATAAACTGCAAATATATTTTAAACAACATACTTAAAAGTATCGAAACAAAAGATATCTCCTAGATAAAGGGATTGTTTTCATTTTCATCCTACGAGTTTATTAGTACTACTAGTCTAGTATAGTTAGTAGTGTAGTACTTGATATTTGGGGAGCCGGACGTAGACACACGGTAGACTCGCGTCGAAATGCCTCAAACTTAGTCTTACACGCCACTCTCACAAGCTTCCTTTTCTTCCCTGCAACTCTCTCCTACTATTTATACACACAATTTCTACTTCCCTCCTCCTCTACAGCTCTTCTCCTTCTCCTCTATCTGGTAAGTCAAAACTTTCTTTTTTTTCTTTTTCCTTTTTTGTTAAATTTTTTAGTTACTGTACGAATATGATCCAACACTGTTGTATCAGCTCAATCTAATTTAGTTCTGTTCTATTTTCTTCTGTTTTTGCCTAATTTTCTCTTCAAATTCTTTTGTTTATTTGTTATTTTGTACTTTGTGATATAATATTGGTGTATCTCTTTGATGTTTAGGATTCGACGTAAAATGGCGTGTACGGAAGTATATTCAATGTCAAGTCCAAAAATGGAATATGTTGAAGGACGGTGCTTCAGTTTTATTAATTCGTCGACTAGTCTAAAATTATGGCCTATGATTCGGAGAACGAACTCTCCAATTCGGAGAGGAAGAAAATTAGGTGTGAGTTGTTCATTGCCAAATATTTTGTCTCCATTAGGATCGGAAGAGGATGCAAGTGTTGTACCTAGCAGTCATTCCTTAGAAGATGAGTTTAGCCACGTCACGAAGTTCAAAATGTCCGATTTTAAGATACGGAATCGTGTCAGCATTGGCCTTGGTGGCAGGGTAATTAAATTTCCTCTGATTATTTTGTTGGAATAATAAGGGAGTCTTCGTCTTGAAATGAAGATGTAAAGCTATTTGATGTTTAATCTTCGCTTGCATTTTGCAATTGTGTCAGGGCGATGAGATAGTGTTTGAAGCTATGGTGAATGATCCTCATAGGTGAGTATTTCCGTGTACTCCCTCCGTTCCAATTTATGTCAGTCTATTTGACTGGACATTGATTTTAAGAAAGAAATGAAACTTTTGAAATTTGTGGTCTTAAACATGTTATAACATACTTTTGAAACTCGTGGTTTTTATCATGCTATAACATTTGTGTGGCTATACAAGTTTGTCATTAAGGGTAAAATGATAAGTTTAAGCTAAATTGTTTCTAAATTTAGGAATGTGTCCTTCTTGGAACAAATTAAAAAGGAAATAGGGTCGCATAACTGGTACATGGAGCATAATTTTCAGCAGAAGACCAAATTAACACAAACCTACTTTTCCTGATTTCAACAATACATGCAGTCCATTGTATAAGACCAGAGTTGTACTTAGGCAACTTATTAGTGCTCGGGCAAAGCGGAGAGGACGTCGTGCGATAGAGGTTTGTTGCACCTAGCCATCATATTTTAACTCATGCATCGGTTCTGGAAATGTCCGTGATTTGTCCAATATTAATGATTGCATTTCTGTGTGCTAGGTCTTGAAGAGACTGGCACGTCGTAAGCTCATGTATCATTCATACTCGATGCAAGTTCATGGGTATATCTGCTCATCCATGACAGATGAGAACAGTTCATTCACCCTAGTCCTTGGGGTATGCTGATTTTGATGTTAAGCTGATCCTTTATTTTCAAGGGACTATTATGACTTGATAACATTATTATGATAAGTATAACTAGCTTCGGCGCTTAAGTTTTATTTGAGTACTTTTTAGTTGCATGCTTGTTCTCTTAGGTGCTTGAGGAATAACTTAATGCAAGTACTATGGACCTGTTTCATTGAACATCAGAATCTTTTTTTCTTTGCATACAGTTAGCAGTATCTGTGTTCCTATGTTAGACCCTAAAATAGCTGACATCTTTGAGGACCTTGGTTTTGTTCTCTCAGCATCATGGAAGTTCTTCACTGAGACATTGGCTTCAACGATCTGATTGGCTTCCAACTCTAGAAGCTACTCTTTCTCTAGATCAGGAGTCTGTTAGAAGGGTGGGGGACGATACAATAGGAGGGCCAGCTATTTCTCGACAACTGCGACTAATCCGGATCTTAATGAGGGATCTCTTGATTGGAGTACGTGTTATGTGTCTTTCATTCTTATCTGATTAGGTATCAGATAACAAGTTCTCTGTTTGCTGATTGATCCTTGATTCTCTCTCTCAGGTGAACTATGTGCACAGTCATGGTCTTGCACATACAGAGTTGAGGCTTGAAAATTTGCACATCAGTCCAGTGGATAAACATATTAAAGTGAGTGCCCCTTCATCTTACCTGTTGTAGTAGGAATTGAACGATATCGGTACATTAGGGGACAAAGTACCTGCTGCTAATGTTACAATACTATTCAACATGCTTAACCTTGGTGATAGGCATATAACATAAGACCTTCACCTTCTATTGTAAAGGAAAATGTTCAATTACCATGAAAACAGATAGGCTTTACTCTCTGTAGGTTCTCAATATTGGGGTTTCAGGCTGTGTGAATCCAACTCTATCCAAACCCGATAGTGTGGGAGCTTCGTGAACTATCAGCAGTTCCACCTAAGAATCAATTAGATAAACCTGGCTAAACTTCCTCAGAAAAGCACGATGTCTTCGGTGAAACTAGAGCTATGAAACATGTCTTAATCATTAGATATAGATACATGCATAATGCATACATTTGACAATGCTTCATCCATATTGCTTAGTTATGCAAAATCCTTTTATGAGTCCATCAAGATGCTACTTTTTGTGGTATTACAAGAGTGCTTTTTTAGATCAGGCTAGTCGCTGGTTTTCCAAAAGGAAGAGCTCCCTACATTTTGTTTTTCTTCCAATAGGGGCGCTGATGGCTACGTTGGTAATTGTGATACTTTTTGCTAATATGGTCCAGTTTGGAATCACTGTGAACCTATCTATGTGTTTTCGGAGTTTAACAACTCAACTATACCTCTTTGGGAAGAAGAGTTTATTTTGATTTTCAATTGATCACTTCTTATCAGGTAGGTATATTGGGAAATGCTGCTGACTTTAATGAGGCTGATACTGTGGATGGCACATCATATGACAATATGGATAGGAGGAGAATGATGATTGCATTTGACATGAGGTATGACATGCATGCTTAAATATTTATGTTTTTTGTTAGCGTGAAGCAAGTTATTTATGATTTTCTATCTGCTTTTACCTGTTGCAAAGATGTGTTGGATTCATCATGGCAAAAATGGTTTTGAGGGAACTCATGGACCCAACGATCTTTGCCAAGTTCAAAGCATTCCTCACCAAGGTTGTACACTGTTTTTGGATGTTCTGCAAAATACATGCTTTCACATGCAATAACTTAATTCATGTCATCTTCAGGGAAATGATCCCTCCTGTTTGCGCGAGTTTCTTCTCCATGCTGTAAAAAGAAATTCTTCAGCTGGAAATTTTGGTATACAAGTTAGTACCTTATCCCTTGTTTATGTTTAACTGTTCCATTGTTGTTTGCTGAAAGTCAAGAGAATTAATATAGTGATAAATCAATTATGACTAATGAATTCTTTTGTAGACTATGTTTTTATTAACTTCATCTATTTCTTTCCATAACCATAACTATGAAGGTTCTTTTATGCTAGTCAACTACCAAGTAGTGTCACTTATCACATTTCTCAAAAGGGCGGCAAATGGGGTTCAGTTAATAAATGAGTCATGACTCGGCTCGTGCAAAACTTTCTTAAGTCAAGATGGATTAGTAAGGGGGTCGTAGCCCAATAAGATGGAATATGACGTTGTTGTTTGCTGTAAATCAAGAGAATTCATAGAGTTTGAAAATTGAGTTTTGATTGAGTGGATTCAAAGATATTAGAGATGAAGGTGGATATACATAATATTAATTTTTATCACATATTTCATCGTGCTACGACGAAGCATGAAGATTGTGACACATGGTAAAACATTTACAATGTGTAGCCTTATTTAGGTAATTTACTTGTTAAAGGTGGACGTAATTCAGTTATTTAGGTAATTTTCCTTATTTAAGAACTTTTCTTATTTCATGTAGTTTAATCTCCTCTAATTTCAATTCAAAACTTACTTCTCTCTCCTATTGCTCCACACTGTTTACTTTCCATTTTTGGTAATATAGTAATATTTGTTCTTCTTTCAGATACTTGATAGAAACTGGGGTGCAGGTTGGCATTTGCTCTCATTACTCCTTGCACCTAAACCTTTGGACAGGATAAGGTAAACTCAGTCATTATGGTTGTTGATGCCTTTTGGAAACTGCTTACATGCATCAGATATTAATTTTTCTTACAAGCTATGCAGGATTAATGAAAACCAGCTTATTAGATAGCTTATAGCCTAGAGGCTAGAGGAGCTTTTTCAGAAGATGAGTTAATTGGTTAACTGAATTTGGAACTCTTCTGATGGCTTTCTGTAGGAGCCCTAGCAACTTAAGTATTTCAAAGGCTTTTGGAGAAACATGTATCATTTTATCAGATCTTCCAAAAATTATTTTGGGAAGTGATCACGGGGAAGCAGATTTTAATGTTGATGAGCTTCTAGGTAAAGGAGCGAGCTTCTGATCTCTAATGCAGTTGTTAGTAAGAATCTTTAGATTAAGTTAAAAGCAAGACCCGCGTGCCTAGCATTCAATGAAATGGGTGAAAATCTTGGAGACCAGGGTTCAGTTCCCAGCAAAGACAAAAAAAATGCTAGGTGATTTCCTCCCATCCACCTAAGTTTGGGTGGTGGGCAGAGTTACCCGGTACATGTACTAGTGGAAGATAGCAAGTACCTAATGCAATAATCGAGGTGCGAAGCAAGATAGCACGTGCACCATCATTTAAAAGAAAAATTAAAAGCAAGACAGATAAATTACATGTACATTATTTTAGATACTTCACGGACTGAGCTTTCATATTGCTGATTGTTGTTACTCAAACAGCATGTGTAAATTAAATTGGTCTCATAGATATATAATCAAGTCAAAGATGACAATGTATCATTACATCATAATTAATGAAGATCTCTACTAATATTTCACAGTTGCTTAAATGCTCTGAGGCATCCCTTCTTGTGTGGACCAAAATGGCGTGTAAGCCCATCTATTGATGTAATCAGATGGAGTCTTGGCTCAACTACTGTTCGAATTGCGGAGGAGTACATTTATGGGCAGCAGCAGGTAATAACTGTTGGCTGATCATGAAAAGTATTTCTTCTTTTTCAGTAGTTATGGTTGGTTTGATACTACGAAGTGTTTGAGTATTTCATGTTTCCTATTTCCCCCTCCTAGTTTCCCAACAGTGCATTTGATAAACAAACCTCCTTATTTTAGCTGGAAGTTTGAATGTGCGTCACTGCTTTTGTCTGTTGTTAAGCTTGCTTGCTTCTTAAGTAGTAGTTCTTATTACTCCTCCAGAAATCTACGGTGGCACAAATAGCTTGCCTCCCCATTTATTTTCAATTTCGAACTTCTCCTTTTCAGAATGGTTGGTTCATCTGACTTTCTTTTCTTGTTTTCCTTCCTCTTTGGCAGAGTATATTTATATATGCTTCTTATGTTTTCACTCGGAGTTTATAATTATCTTTTTATCTCAATATATTGTCATTGTTTGTCTCTCTAGTCAAGTTGGCCCCTTTCTTTTGAATTCTTGTTTTACCTTATTTTCTAAAAACGCAGAAATAACACTAGCAGAGTACTTACGTACTAATCTAAGATTCGGTGTTTGTCATCGCGAAAACCACTAAATAAAGAAAAGCATCTTCCTAAAAAATATATTAAGAGAGCACCCAATTTGGATAGAGTAAGCAGATCTATAACTTGCTCGACTATCTGCACTTTAGTCCTTAATGAAAATATGGGTCATAATTCATAGACACCAATTACTTTTTAATCTGGATAAAGGGACACCCTTACGTGAGACTTTAAAGAGGGACGTATGGTGTTTATCCCAAAAGGGGTAAAATGGAAGCAACATATTCTTCTACAGAAAATAAAGACTGTCATGACTTGCTAGGATGTGTCCTCCCTCAAATTCTTTCAAGTATTATCAAATAATAATTCTACTCAGTTCTTTTTCCGATGAGTTTAATTCTATTTAGCTCATCGCTACTGTATTTTTTTCATTAATTGTCTGCACCTTGCTGAAATCTGTTAGCAGGATCAGAAACTAAAAGAGTTGCTAATATATTATTTCTCTTCTGTTTTTTCCAGCGGAGTAGGCTTGCTCATTTCATTGAATTAATGGAGATGCTAAATCCTTATCCAAAACCAAAGGTGAAGAATCTCTCTTCTTTTATTATGAGTTATTTTTTTAATTCTCTTTGGTTGGTGAAGAGCGTCTCTCATCATCTGCTTCTCATTTATAGCACTTTGACAATATTTATTTTACAGTTTCTCCCCTAAATATTCACACATTGTGCATTTCATGCTTGTCTACAATGTTTATTTTACAGTTTCAAGCTTTGTTGATTATATTAAATATGCAGTACTCTGTCTTTGTATATTTGTTGCACTGCGTTTGTTGTTATTTAGGATAAGTAGTGATGCATGCTTGCATTTTTTTCAATTGGGAGGAATAGCCTCAAATGATACATTATGCCTTGAGCAATGTGCTCACCATTTGCAACTGAACGAGTATCTACTGATCTGCAGCATTGGCTGGGATCGTTTCCTGGAAAGTGGCGTCTGTTATACTGTACTGGTAGACATATAGGATTGACCCTTAGACAGCCTTCTGTTAGAGTACTCATTGGGGAAGTGTACCTAACAATATCTAAAGCCTCAACACCTAAAACAACATTTTCAGCTGCCTCACATATAAGCTTCACCGTTATGCCTAGTGGGGACTGGCCTCATGACAAGTCTGGTGTAGGTGGAAAGTTGCAAGTGAATACCTATTTCAGATTGAGAGCTGGGAGACGGTTATATCTTCAGGAAGAAACTGACACCTCGAAGTTTCCCTCTGCTACACCAGATGCTCAAGCTTCTGCAGTGAAAAGGTTATCTGGTAAAACGTGGAGGAAAGCCATCCCCGTAAATGAATTTCCTTCAAGCCTTTCTGTAGCTAAACTTGTGTCCACTGAAACTGAGGTAACAATGAGTCTGGATAAACCACTGAGTGGTAACATTGAAGTCGCACAGAAAGCACTTCAAGAGGTACGCACTCAAATACCTCCAGAAATGTTTGATCTGTCAAAAATCGTCTGTGGAACATATTTAGATTCAAGATTGCTTGTCCTCCGAAGTGTAAATGGATCTGCACTCGTTTTAACAAGATGTACAAATAATAGTTGATTGTAGTAAAAAACTTTGTTGATTCACTTTTTGTAAATAAGATCATATTTTTATCTTTCCGTATTTGGTCAGAGGGAGCAAAAGATTGGTAGAGGTCACAGAGATTCTTAATTCGAATCTGTACAAACGAATAGAAGCTTAATTCGTGTATTTAAGGTCACAGAGATTCTTTTTTACCATGTTACCAATTTTCCAGCAAAAGATATATGTTCATCACAGTGCGGAAGGGAAATGCTTCGCCTCTGGGCACTCGGAGGAAAAATTTACACATCAACTAATCCCAAACTAGTTAAAACCAATAGAATTCATTAATTATAACTATTCCGCTGCATCTAAGTTCATTCCATTTTAACAGGATATAAGTTACCTTTTTAAAACACATTGAAGTTCTAGTATTCTTTAGAAATGTGATATTTATCTCTACAGTAGTCCTTAACCAGGCAACAAATACTCGTTACAAGCACTTGTAATCCCAAAAGTGTTGCAGGCAAGCTATGGAAATTTCAGTAAACATTCATGGTAGACTAAGTATAGAATTTGGCGAGAATTTGAAGGAACCCCAGAGACAAATATTGGACTGTCTTCGTTGGAACCCCACGCTAAAACATCACGACCAAACACCACGACTCTCTTCTGAAAATAAGTGTAATCTAGTAATAACAATAGCCTATCTAAAGACATCCTCGCTAATACAAATACATCTCATACATTTCAAATAGAGGCTTCTATCTCTTGTCCCTCTCCCGCTTAGTGAATTCTAACATTCAAATTGCACTTTTGAGGGGCAGGTGGATACACCAACAATCGCTTACTGAATAACAAGTGCTCGCTCAACCAAAATCAAGACATATGGTCTGATCAATATCTAGGATACAGAAAACGCATAAGCAAAAGGAACAGAAACATTTCCACCCAGGTGAACTAAAACCAATAAAACAACATGCCGCCAAAGAGATTGAAAAGCTCCACAGAAACAAATCTAGATCAATCCCTGGCGTTGTAGATCCGTATGTCTTTTTGTTGTAGATGTTGCCCTCTTGATCTTCATATTCTTCTTCAAGATCTGGGCGCCACTTATTCAGCCCTTGTTTTTCTTGGATTCTTTCCCAAAGTTGCTTGGCTTCCTGTGAGACAACAAAAAATCTGCATCAGAAGCTGCAGTAACAAAGGAAAAAGGAACAGCTAGCTGCATGCAACTTACCAGTTGCAACATCTATATTCGACATTGCTGTGTTTCAGGATTAAAATAATGCCAAAACAAAAGCTAGAAGCTGTCATACTAATTTGATTTGCATCCATGGATCTAAGTACTAATATAACCAAGACGGTAAAAAATAAGCTAAGACAGGATTTAAGAGGGAAAAGAGGAAAAGAGAGCAGGGCTCTTTGAAGCTTAGTTGGCAGAAGCAGAAAATTGCATCTCACTAAATAACCAAACTACAGCTGCACTTTGTATCCTAAATATTTATAGGAAGAACTGCAGCAAGAATGACGCCACGAAGAAACGCAACATCGTCTGTCCAGACGTGTAAAGAGGTTCATATGGTTATTAAGCTACTGAATCACAATTTTAATCATTAATTCATGACGAATCAACAGCCGTAAGTTGAAAAATACCAAAATTACTACTCAAGAGCTACATGTTAGGGGTCTGGCTCTTTGAAATCATGCGTGGCATGGTCATGGCAAGGATTTGGCATGATGGCCTTGTCATTTGCATATGTGCAGTTATTGCTTCCTAAGAAGCTCAGAACTGTGCGGAGAAATCAAAAACCATCTGGAAGATAGCAAACCTAAACGAAATGGCCAAACAAAAAAGACAACACGTGCCTAGTGATGAAAAGGGGGGGGGGGGGGTCAAGATGGGCCACAATGATGAAGTTGACCCTGCAAAATGACATACTGTTCGAGTAGAATGTTAATAATGGACTTCTATCCATATAGCTTAGAAATCAAATATCTAACAAACTCATTTATATATAGTGATCACCATTCATCATGTTGATGATGGCTCCTTCGCCATTCATTTTTCTTTCGTTTGTGTGGAGGGTGAGAGGCAAGGCTTGCTCTAATCTCACGTTGTCATGAACCCACCTAACTTCAACACCAAAAGCTAGCTCATGAGGTAAAGGATTGCGGACTGCTTATATGCTGTCGAAGCCTCCCTTTTGTCCAATGTGGGACAGGGTGTTATAATAAGCTGTGGTGACAAAGGTACTAAGCAAGTATAAAACTGTAAACAGAGACATGGAAAATGGCTTGTGTCATCTATGTTATCAAAAGGCATATTGCTTTCTATGGAGCTGAGAGATCTGTGAGAAGTAATCAAAAAGCCCCTGGAACAATGCGAGCCTAAAAAAAGGCCCAACAGAAAAGAAAACATATGCCGAGTAGCGAAGAGGTGAAAATCAAGATGGGCCAGAATGGTAGAGTTTACCACCCAAATGACATACTGTAAGTGTAGAATGCTAACAATGGATTTCTATACAGATAATTTAGGAACCGAATGTCTATCTAACTCACTTATACATTAGTGATCACCATTCGTCATATTGATGATAGCTCCTTCCAGGCCATTCTGCCTTCCATCAGCACCATTAATAGCGTCAGCTGCTGCTCCTTGCAGGCCATTCTGCCTTTCATCAGCATTATCATTGAAACCTTTCTGCAAAAGATGAGGGTTGGTTAGTGTATTAGAACCAAAGACTAAACAATCAGGGAAAAGAGCAGGAGGGATACTAAGGAAAAAGCTACTCTGTGAATCGCAAAAGTTCACCAGTTCCAAGGTTTCAATTGCACAATTATCTCTTTTAAGCTATTATGCTTTTATCAAGAATATCCGCATCTATAAACTTCTTAGCACAGACTGTCTTAACTAGAGGTTCTTTCATGTTCTGACATATGTGCTAGAGAGCTCTATACACATCGGTTGAGCATTCTTGCAAAGAGCTTTTGGGTTCCAATTTTCAGCATTGATTTGAAATTAAAACACTAACTGCATAAAGACCACAGATATCTTCAACTTATCTGGTCAAATTGACTGAACTCCGTTTCAACCATGCCTCTTCTGTTTGGGCTCTAAACTAAATGGTACCAAGTAGCCATTTTGACACACATTACATATTTAACACCTGCACCTAAAAACTTTTCAACAACTCGGGACCAGGAGTCAAGTAGATTGCTAAGTCAAAGTTGTACTTCCCAATAAGTACACAGTATCTCACGAAATAATCTTAGCAGTGGCATCAAATTTAGCAAGTTATCTATACCCATTGGAAGCAAACAGAAAGTTACGTGATTAAAAATGTCATGCTTAATGTGAATTCTCAGAACTCGGACAAGTTAAATCATTCCTTTGTGTGCCGTAAAGACGAAGGGGAGAGTCGGAAAGACAAGAAATAAGAGTATTCCCTTTACTAGAGATTCAAAGACTCCAATACTAGGGGTTGAAAAGGTCTTCACATTGAAACAACTATAAAGCAGATATAGGAACTAAGATAACAAAGAGACTTGACCACAAAGCTTTTCTACAAGTGTGACGAATATACCTTTTTATTTAGACCATGAGCAGTCATAAGTCCATAGAACTTGCGCATCAGCATTTCTTCTTCAACCTACAAGCAGTCAACATGCAAAATTGATACATCAAATTGAAATGCAAATGGTAAGAAAATGGAAAAATGGAACGGAAATGAAAAGAAACAGCTAATAAGAAGGGTTTTGCTCTCACAGAAGCCAGAATATCAATAGGACTTTCGAAATTATTGATGTGGCATATAAAACAACGAATGAGCCGAAAGCAGTGGTGCACGTAACTAGATTGAATGTGCCCCTAACTAAGGGCACTGCTATTAAGGGTTGAGTCTCTCCCTTCCCTTTCCTCCCCCAACCCAACTTCCACCACCTGAAAAAATATATCGTTTGAAATATGTTTACGTGACTGCAGAAGGCTCATAACACATAACATCTGCACTACTATTCAACTACAAGTGTACATTACATTTTTTTCTTTCTTTATGATTTTCATATATCCAATGCTAGTATTTTTATTGTGTTCTTTCATTTTATGGCCATCCCAAAATAATGTCCTTTAATACAAATTACTATATACACAAACTAATAACAGGTCAAGCAGATGTATCTGAAGATGCTTGGAGAGTACACAAAGGTTACTTAGAGAAGATTAATATGCAACGACCCAAGATCCCCTAAATTGCTGGGTGCGTGTCCGATCCTTCAAAAGTAGTGTAAAATAGTGTATTTTGGGAGAATCCGACACGGGTGCGGCAACATTTTGGAGAGTCCGCGCAACATAGATATATAGAACAACTTTGGCAGCAACTATGTATTTCATTCGGCAAGAAAGGAATATGGTGGTGTTCAGAGCAAGAGAAGACAACCTGCAGAAATTATCAAGATGATCATTCAAGAGGTCTTTGTGAGAGGCAGCATGTGCAGGAAGCTTAACAGTACATTAAATACTATGTACTTTTATCCTGCTTTGTAAGGATTGTAGGCTATTTGACATGATGAACTTAGTGTTGGAGTGCAAAACTGTGGTAGTCCAGTTTGCTATTTTCTTTTTCTTGAGCTGTAATTTTCTGAGTTGGTAGTAAAATTGCTTATGTACCCAAAAAAAAGGTCCAATTTTATTGTCAGCGCCACATGTTTTGTCAATATATATTAAGCTCTCAATACGTGTGCAAAACCAAACCAAGATATCAAAGTAGGATAAAAAAAATAATATTTTGTCCATCCATTTATACATTTCGAAGTAGTCTAGGATGTTTAGCTAGAGTCTCAATATCTTAGCAACTTTACTTGGAAATACTTAAGAGCTTCTCGCCTCAGGGCTTTAATCTAGTGGTAAGAGTGTGACCCGTGATGTTTGATGTTGTTGTTAGGCGCACGTCACGGGCTACAGAAAAAAATAGAGGCGAATTCAAGATTTAAGCTCTATGAGGTTCAACCTTTAAGTTTTTAGCCTTGAACCCATTATAATTTTAAAACTATGGGTCCATATCAGCCATTTATAGCACCTTTAGTGAATTTTTACACATAAATTTATGCTCCATGTTAATAATACTACATGAACTCGATACTTATAAGCTCCATCTGACCCTGGCAAAAACCTGATATATTTAAGTGGAGGAGGATAGATGGACGGACCCATTATCCATCGAGTTTCAAACCGTGCACCAATGGCCCCAGTGGCGAAGCCAGGAATTTTGCAAAGATGTTCAAAGTTTAATATATATATTTATAAAAAGTAATTTTTGACCTATATACATAGTATATATTTCTATATACTCAGTATAATTTTCGGATGACTCTATGTGGCTACGCCATTGATTGGCCCACGTGGATTTTTTGGTTATCAAAAAAAAAAAAAAAAAAGAGATTCTCTTATCTTGCAAGTTAATAGCTAGAGTTTGTACATCTTTTTTTCCTATCAATATATGATTACTGTTCAAGTAGAAAAGTTCCTGCTTTTTTTTTTTTTTTTTTGTAATTTGGTAAAAGAAGAGTGTAGGCATATAAATTTTATTGAAATTAAATTCATAAAATAATTTGGGTTATATTTTGAATTCAAGATATATTAGTCCAACTAAATACTATGGGCTAAATATAATTGAAATTTTATTATATAAGTCCAATTATATGGATTAAATAAATAAGTCTTAATCCATTGGGCCAGCCCATTTAATTGGGCTAAAGTGATGAGCCCACTTCATTAAGCCCAAGATGACATCTTCCTAGAGGCCCAGTTTGGTGCCACGTGTCAAATGACGTGGCGCACCAAGTCAAACAGAAGATCCAATGGGATCGTGCCGCATGTCAAAATGACAAGGCATGCCAAGTCAAATTAAAGAGCCAATGAAATCGCGCCACGTGTGCAAGTGACATGTTCTGGCCAATCAAATGCGGCCATGTCACACTTTAATTTGATTGGTCGGAAAGAGTTTGTTCTTATCATGACTCCTCCCTTCCACAACTATAAATAGGGGTCTTCATAACTCAGAAAAGACACCAGAAGTTATAACAAGAAGCAAGAGAGAGCTCGTGGATCAAAAGCCGCAAATTTCTCTACAAGTTTCAAGCTTCAAGCAATCAAGTTCAAGTTCAAGCTCAAGAACGAAGAACGAATCAAGATCAAGTTCAAGCAATCAAGCTCAAGCTCAAGCTCAAGAACAAGATCATCGTTCGTGGAAACAAATATAGGTTCAAGATCAAGCTCCAAGGCCCTTGAATTTATTTACCATTGGAAAGAAGAATCAGAGGATTCATAGAGATTGTAACACTCAAATATTCGAAATAAAATACTACGATTGTTGCAATATTTTCGGTCTTGATTTTATTTTCTCGACGCAATTTATTGTCTACAAATTCTGGCATGCCCAGTGGGACAATCTCTACCTCTCATCTCAACTTTTCAATCACCAAAGTTCAAGAACATCGAAATGGCTTCAAAGAAAATCAACTCCAGATCAACTTCCACTAAGTCTGTTTACTCCAGGTTCTATGCTTAGTCAAGTGGGGCTTACAAGATGGTTGATGCAGATGGCATGAGAATCGGCCCTATCAATGGCAAGTTTTTGAAGAAGTATTATCCTTGAAGTTGCAACGCTCCTTGACGCACGAGCCTAAACTGCATGTTACTACACTCCTGGCCCGCATGAGTCTAAACTGTGTACGACCCAAAAAAAAAAAAGAGTGAGTCCGCTAGGTTGAAAATCTCGAAAGAGGCGGCCTAGGCAAAAGTTAGGACGTAAAAAAAAAGAAGAAAAAAATCTACCCATTCTAAACTACGGTATGACTTGATCCTCTTCACCGAGGTACGTAGGCAGCTTAGAGTTTCATTCTAAGTTCAGTCGCATAAGTTCAAAAGATACATATTGCCCCAATTGTTGTCCGAGTGAAGTATGGAGGAATGTAAAATCAAGCTGAAACGCCATCATCCTGTTGAACTTTGATCTCATTTGATTTAAAGGGGGCAACACTCCACGGTAAATTGATATCTTCGATGGGCCGATTTTTGGAGGATGTCAAGTATTTGCAATTAAGTCCAGGGATTCTCTATGTTTTCAGGTTCGTCAAACCTTCAATTTTGGTGGTCTCCAAGTCCGCCCTCTGCCTTAAAAAAAAGGGAAGAGAAGAGAGGCGTCAAAAGGAAACACAAGTATAAGGAAAAGATTGCTTGGCACAACGTTTCAAATTCAGTGAGACTTGAACCCAAGATATTTGTGAGAATATAGCTCTTAAATTTCGATTGATGTCAAGTAAGACATCTTCCGATCTCGAGGCTTCCATACCAAGATGCAAATGTTTTGGTGAAGTCGCGCAAATCTGGAATTGATAGCGTGGTGCAATATAAAGTTGATTTCAAAATATTATCTGGGACGATTCTGAAGTTTTTTGATTGATAATTTTGGATATGTTTTAGATTTTGTAGTCTAGTTTTCTTGAAATCAAACGGTTTGCAATTTCGATATTTCTACACCAAGATATGAATTTTTTAGTGAGACTGCGAAATCTGGAATTGATAGCGTGGTGCAATATAAAGTTGATTTCAAAATATTATATGGGACGATTCTGAAGTTGTTTGGTTGAGAATTTTGGATATGTTCTAGATTTTGAAGTCTAGTTTTCAAGATATCAAGAGGTTTGCAATTTCGACATTTTTACACCAAGATATGATTTTTTTTGGTGAGACTGTGCAAATCTGAAATTTTCAACGTGGTGAAATCTAGAGTTGGTTTCAAAATATTATCCGGGGCGATTCTGAAGGTGTTTGATTCTATGTTTTGGATATATTTTAGATATTGAAGTCTAATTTTCGAGAAATCAAACGGTTCATTATTTGGACTCTCCCACGACAAGATATGAATCTTTTGTTACAAGCGTGTAAAGCTGATAATTATGCGACTGAAATAAAAGTCGGACAATGTGAAGTAAAAGAGAAGCTGAAATATTTAAGCCCTCGAAGTCTCCAAGTTGAAGTCTTCAAGTCCGTCGGTATTCAAGTTGAAATCTTCAACTCCGTCGGTCTTCAAGTTGAAGTCTTCAAATTCGCCGATCTTCAAGTTGAAATATTTAAGCCCTCCAAGTCTCAAAGTTGAAGTCTTCAAGCTCGTCGGTCTTCAAGTTGAAGTCTTCAAATTCGCCAATCTTCAAGTTGAAATATTTAAGCCCTCCAAGTCTCAAAGTTGAAGTCTTCAAGTTCGTTGGTCTTCAAGTTTTTGTCTTTAAATTCGCCGGTCTTAAAGTTGAAATATTTAAGCCCTCCAAGTTGAAGTCTTCAAGTCCTTCGGTCTTCAAGTTCGCCGATCTTAAAGTTGAATTGTTTAAGCCCTCCGAATCTTCGAGTTGAAGTCTGCAACGTCCGCCAAATCTTCAAAGTTTTGCAAGTGTTCAAGTCGATGTCGTCTTCGAGTTGAAGCTTTATAACTTTCCAATCTAAAGGTGGACATATAAGTCCCTTTGCACCTTAAGTTGGCCTCTTCGTGGGTTTGTCCTTAAAAGGAACTATAACTTTCCAATCTTAAGGTGGA